AAGTTGTTATTTCCTTGGTTTGGGCTTTGGGAGCTTGTGGTTTCCTTGGGTGCTTTTGTCTTTCTTAGTGGGTGATACCTTATCACCTCTTTCGTACCTTTTTCTTTTTCTTAATAAAATTACTTTTTGTTTATTACCAACAAAAGAAAAAAACATGCATATTGGCAATCACCCCCTAAATCATTTGTTCTGGGAGGTGATTGACCTAATTTTAGCTGTCATGTGCAAGCTCTTAAGCAAACAATTGATACAAAAGCTGTTAGTTATAGTCTCTGCATATACATCTTCCCAGAGCTGAAACCAAATGGTACTTTAACACTTGACCCAATGAACCTTATTCTTCATAAGGTAAGTATTGTATATGGACCCAAATGGAACCCAGTTGGATATATTCAATATCCTGAACAAAAACCCTACGGTGGTGGACATGTAAGCAGAAATATTTAAAACTAAGTACTATCTATTTATGGGGTTAGTTTACTAGCAGAGTGGCTGTTAAGAATTTGGTCGAGAAATTAACTGAAATTTAGAGGGAAGCAGTGCTTGCTGATTTGATTGAGGGGTGGGCAATAGAGCTGTGCAAAGGGAATAGGGTGTAGCAGTGAGAAACTGGTATTATGTGGGGTGCTTTGTAAGAAAACTATAATGAGCTGGATAGAATGGTGATTGTGCAGAAAATAAAGAAGATGTTATGTATGCTGAAACCTGAAACTAAAGAATCTAATAAATAATAGTAAGAATAGAAGAAAGGGGGCAGGATAATGGAAATAAGATGCTGTAAAAAGAAGCATCTAACTAGAAAAAGCATATACCCATGAAATAAGACTCCATAAACATTTCTCTCAATGGTTCATCTAATTGACACCTTAAATGTTAAAATGGCCATTATTTTAGCTCATAAGTTGCATCCATCCGTTGAAAGTTCCATAATTATTCCCTTAAAGTTCTCCCAAATAAGAATAGAAGAAACTAGAAAGAGAGCAGGATAATGGAAATAAGATGCTGAAAAAAAGAAGCAGCAAACTAGACAAATTACATACCTGGGAACTCCATGAATATTTCATTCAAAGGTTCATCTGATTGACACCTTATAATGGGCCATTATTTTAGCTCATATAGATTTCATTCATCCCTTGAAATCTCCATGAGTTTTCCTTTAATGTTCTCCTAAATATTCTCTAGAATCTCTACAAGGAAGTAAAAGTACTTGTTATAATTCAGGTCTGCCTTAGAGTTCGGCCTGATTGAGTTCAGTTATGTAGAAGAAGAAAAAGTGATAAAGAAAGAGAGAAAGAGAGAAAGAGAGAAGAGAGAATTCTGGTTCGAACTGAAAGAGGCAACTTGACTTCTCCCAGTTGGCCAGTAAGTATTTATA